ATTCCTAAATTTGAACTGTGCCCATGGTACTGCTATCCAGGACCTAGCAAAAGGGCTATATTTACATTATGTAAAACATATGTCAGTAAAAAAGTGGTGTTGTCCATAAAAAATATGCAGATTGTCAGTAACAAAGTCTTAGATTGGCAACCCTGTGGTCTAGTATCTTTCCAGATATCAAAGTTAGAATGACTAGTCTTGGGTCTTCTTTGTTCTCTTTTAAATATGGCACTATATTTGCCATTTGCCAGTTTTCTGGGACTTCACTGGACTTTCCTAAGTTCTCAAAAATAACAGCCAATGGCTCTGAAATTATGTCAGTCATTTCATTGAGTATTCTAGGATGACTCTCACCTAGCCCTCATGACTTAAACATTCATTTTGTTCAGAGCTCTTTCACAATATTTTCCTTGTATAATATCTGGATTTGTGGCACTTTTTTGCTGATGATACTGGATTCACCACCCATGAAGAAGGCCAACTACAAATACTCATGAATCACCTCTCCCATGCTTGTAGGATGCTTGCCCTGACCATCAGCATCAAGGAGATTGTGGTCCTAGGACAGGGTGTTCACTGGTCACCATCTATCAGCTTTGACAACACACCTCTCAAGGCAGTGAACAAGTTCTACTACCTTGGATCCACAGTGAGTGACAACCTATCACTGGATGAAGAGCTAAATGTACACATTGAAAAGGCAGCTACCACTTTCAGTAAGCTCTACAAATAAGTCTGGAACAACACTAAACTCACAATCAAAACTAAGCTGCTTGTGTACAAAGCCTGTGTCCTCATTGTCCTTATGTATAGTAGTAATAAGACATGGTCAACATATGCATATCAAGAAAAGAAGCTGATCAGCTTCCACCTATGCTGTTTATACAGTGCATCCTTGACATCAAGTGGCAAGACAGAATCACCAACACAGAGGTCATCGCCAAAGCCAACCTGCCAACCATCACTGCACTACTCAAACAGCGGCACTTATGCTGGCTTGGCCATATTTGCAGGATGGAAGATTGGCATATCCCAAAGTACATCCTCTATGGAAAAATTGCAGGCAGGGAGAAAAGACTAGGGTGCCCAAAGTCGCACTTCATAGATTTCTGCAAGCAGGATATGAAGGCTTTTGGAATCAACCCAAACCTTTGGAAGGCCTTAGCAGGAGACAGGACAAAGTTGCACTCTCTTCTCAATCATGGAGTCTAACATCACGATAAGAAATGGTCACTCAAATTACAACAGAAACATGACCAAAGGAAACAGCCTGTAAGTACAGTAGCCCCAACACTGTGTACACCTGTAACCACTGTGGCAAGACCTGCGAGTCTAACATCAATCTTTACAGCCAC